GATCATTGAAATTAACGTAGTTCTATTTTTAAGATGAGTCAAATTCTTTTTATAAATTGAACTTTTTTTATTATTATAATCAATGTTGACAAATGTTTCAACCACACCCTTTTCAAAGCCATCTTAAAACCGTTCCGTTGCAATCACTGAAACGCTATATTAAAAAAATTCTTGATTTTTTTTCCGTTTTTTGCTCATAGAATACTTATTATTAGAGAGAACAAGTCCCTATCTACCGTTAATATAACTTACACTTTCTCAAATTAATTATTGGCCAAGAGAGAAGTTATATCATAGTCTCGAGCCCCGTTCGATCAAACGGATGGCCTTGATGAATACCAATAATGTCCAAAATACTTGGTTCCTCTCGACTTCTTGCCTTGAAAATTGTCGGCTCTTTCTACGATACAGCTAGTAGGAATTCAGATAATTTATTATTTTTTATTTTCGACTATCGTTCATTTCATTATTATGTAAAGATAATACCGTCCAGCAATTTCTTGTTACATCGAGAAAGTTAAACCAAAAATTCTATACTTGGATTACTGTGTTTTAAATATTTTTAATTCTTACTTTAGGAAACCGGTTAATAATTTTGCATAGAATTTGTAGAGAGTCTTAGATGAGCATAAAAAATATGCAAGCTTTCACAAATTAAAAATGATTGATTTTCTTTTATCTAAAAAAACGTGGCTTTGCGACGTAACGAATCAAATATATAAGGTTATCTACTCTCATGATTTGTGTTTTGAAATGAAAATTGTATACTTTTTCAGCTATTTTTTTCATTATTCGAAGATTCTTTTTTGCACATCGGTGCCCCTACCTCCCTAAAAAGATTTTAAGATTTTAACGCATTTTATCTGATGCTCCATTACCATCCATTTTTCCAGAATTTTTTCACCCATGTGTAGATTACATACATACGAGTCGCTGTTATAGCGCTCTTTGGCGCTTTGCGACACCTAATCGCCACAAAGCTCGGTCTTCCCACAGGTTATCAGGGAGTTGACACTCCCTCATCTCACCTAACACCCCCTGTCGCCAACCTCTCACTGGGCGTCCCCTACGCCTCCTCCCAGGAGGAACCCAATCAAGCATCTTTTTTGGCAGCCTCTCTTCCATGTGTAGATTTATTTCTCCAAAAAAAAAAAAAAAAAAAAAAAAAAAAAAAAAAAAAAAAAATTATGAAGAATCTCCATTCAGTGTAAACTTTGGCTGGTGGCGCAGCAAGGTGTGGATGGCACATACCGGAACATTGTGTAACATGTTGCGGGAAATCGAATCGAAGGCGCACTCATATGAAAGTACAGAAGATGAACAGAAAAACCTATTTAAGAGGAGCCGTCAAAAAATGAATTACTGTGCCTCAATTTTGCCTCTTAAAAACCTTTTTTTTAAAATATTCATATTTTTTTTCATCTCCTTTTCATTATTTTATTTTTATGCAAGCACATTTTTTCTTGCGGTCCTTATCTCATTTATATATTTGTAACTTCCCCTGAAATTATTCGTACGTATATACAACTCCCCTTCCACTATATATGAATGCCACAGCATTGGATGTACCGTACCTAATCCAGTAGAATAAAAGGGATATTTTCCCTTGAAGACCTCGGGTACTTTAATTTTAAACGCAAATAAATTTCGCGCTTACGGAAATGAAATCTGGCAATGTCGGAATGTGCATGCAGCGATTTTCGAGGAAGGTAGATTTGCCAGTGGCGATCCTTGCAAAATGGCAACACTGTTGATATTTCCTTTAAATCCATTGAATATATTGATTCTAGGTGAGACAGGCTGTCTCACCCAAAATAGATTGTTTAACATACCTTTAAATGGAGAAAAAACAGTCTCGCGCATTTTCAAGAATCGCCACTAAGTTTGGCACGAGAGAATGCACATGCTGCACCTGTTGAGTCGAGGAAAATGGTTTCGCGGGTGGTGGCTCTCGGGTGGCGCCAAGTCTTACAGTCGCGAAAGGCGAGACTCCCTCTTTCATACGGCAACAAAAAGGCTGTCTGGAAATGCTCAGCCGCGCCTCGCATGATGACACCTCGGTTCCGTTAACAGTCGTCTTCAACTGGTAGGTAAAGTCCGCGGGTCGATTGTTAAATCCTAATCGATACCTCGATCGATACACTCCTATCTTAGCAATGTTGGATATCGATGAAGGTTATTCGTTAACGATTCAACAATTCAGGCGCAGCCCTGCTGATCACCGATAGAGAACCTTAGGTAGATACGTTGATTTTGCTAAGCACGTGAGAATGAGAAAGAATTGGAAAACCCTCACTTGAGCGCTCTTTAAGAGTTCAAGTCACCGAAAAGCATTGTTGCCGATTTTACCAAGAACATGTTTAGGTTGGATCGGTTCAACAAAAAAGAATCATATTTTTTTTCACCTCCTCTCTAAAAAAAATTCAAAGAGGTCTGCTCATTAGTCGCTTATCGAGGGCTGCGGAACGATAACACCTAACTGACAATTTTGGCAAAAATTAGTCAGCGAATTTTCCGCACTTTCCGATATAAAATACGCGAGCTGATGATTTGAGCTTTTTTCCAACTCTGTGAAGAAGTGCTGTAATGAGGCTGTAATGTATGAAAAATTTGCAAATCTACACTCGAAATTACAAAAATGGCGAAATTTTCGTCCCGCAAAATTGTTCGTTCGCAGGTAGGCGGTTTTGTTCCTTGGTCATCGTTTTTTAAGAAGTTGCGAAGAAACTATGTTATGAGGTTTCAAAGGTTTTTTCACTTTCATCATCGATATGTCACCATTCATAAGTTTTTTTGCGATCATTTTTTAAGCGTACAAAATTCAAAATACAGCAACTCAATTTGCGTGAACAGCGTCTCTTCGTTCTCCGCTCTCACCTTTGCTCCTTCTCCTATTCTTCCCTTGATCTCCTTCTATTTGCTCTCCGTCTTTCTTCCCCTATCCATTTTTCGTCGAAGTGAAAATTAAATTCTGAGAACAAAACAGGTTTTTTTTTCAATTTTCAACAGTTGTAGCATACAGATCAAGTCACGAGGAACGCTCTTAACCCGGGTAGAAAAGCAGCATCTAATTTACCAAGCCGCAAACCTGGTGAAAAGAGAACTGGTCTCTGCTGATTCACGTCCAGACTAGCCGGTTCAGAAATTTCCACAAGCTCAAAATTTTTTTAAAAAAGAAAAAAAGAAAGAAAAATTCAGAAATGACGCCAATTTCAAGTAAGTGTACTGAAGATTTCTTCATTATCTCCGTGAAACATACGACGGATAAATTCATGTCTGGCATAGATTGAGGCTTGAGGCTAATGGGGTTTTCCTTATTCGAAACACTGACCTGACTCACGGCTTGCCTAAACTGAGATCGCGTAAACTGGTCCAACAGGCCATCTTTGATGACTTCGTCATTAGGGAGTACGCCTTCTGATCTGACCGTCTACTGGTCTCCCCCCCCCCCCCCCGAAGTGCCTCGCGCCTTAGGCGTTATTTGTTACGCGTTATTCTTATAATTTTGGATTAAAGAGTAAGATGCGCTGCTCTTAATTCAACATCAAGGTCGTAAATTATTTTATCAAAATAATATATTTAAAATTTTCCTCTGAATATTCCTCAGATATTTTACCCTCTCCTACTTGTATGATTATTCCAGTTTTTCACCACTAAATGCAGTTAATTTTACTTATGAAAGCTGAAGACCAGTGATTAAAATTTAAAAACAGTAAAATAATTGCTGCACGAGTGTCCCTGTCCCGCGTGCATGCCTGGACGGTATGCCACACGACAACAAAATCCTGAATCAGGAAGAGCCAAGAGCGTGCGCATTTCTATATGGACGTATTTCTATCAAACGGAACTATGTGCATTATGACGTGAGCCCTGTTATGTGCATATATTCTTACGGGTCTCAGGGCTCATGTCTTGTTGCACATAGTTCCGTTTGGTAGAAATACGTCCATATTACGGTTTGAATCATCTAAAGTCCGCAATATTTGCATCATCTGCAGCATTCAGATGGTCGCAGTTGCCAGACCTGAAATATTCGCACAGGATTGCAAAGAAATATTCCAATAATTGGTTTTTTTTTTAGGAAAATAAATCATAATCGAAGATTGTTAAACGTTGCGATGTTTATCGATGGCTGAAGTGCAAAACCACGTATCTCCGTTGTGACGTTGCAGACTTCCGGTCATACTTTATTTATTTATTTATTTATTTATTTTTATTTTATTTTATTTTTTTTTTGGAAAACCAGACAAGTGCATTTCTTGAAAACTTCCTTGATTTCTCCTCTCTAGCCAACGATATAGAAACTGTAGATTGGTGGAGACCTACGAAAAATGTCTCACGCATGGAGCGGTCGTTCGATGGGTGGGTAGGCGGAGAGTGGGACTGCCCAATTACTTGTCATAACATCAATACTTTTTTTCTTTTTTTAAAAGAAAAAAAAAATTCGAAGTTTTTATAGTCAAAGATTTGGAGCTGAAATTTTTATCGTGAACTCACTTGAAGTAGGTTTCATTTCTAGACACAGATTTGGAAACAGTCGTTTCTGAATTTGACGCAAGACCTTATTCAGCAACAGTCCCATATGAAACCATGGAAACCGCCTATTCTCACCCAGCTTAATTGTTGCTCCTGTTGGATGATGAAATTCACCGATTGCGTAGGATCACCCTTTCTAAATTTTCTAGATCGTTGCTATTTGCAGAATATTTCATAAAAATATCAAGCTGTATATGGTTTGATTTTTTTTCTCTTCAAAAAACTAAAATGAGAGCAGAGATTTTGAAACACCGCAACAGAGATACGTGGCTCCACACTTCAGCCATCGATATAACATTTTCCGAATTCAGCCCATCGAGGTTGTCTCCTGTTTTCCATGAGGAAAGCCTCCCAGGGAATTGCAAGGATACGGTAAAACCTCTGAAGTGGCAACGGTGTTGGAAGGTATTTTTCTTGTCCTTTGAATTGGCGGCGTCAGTGCTAAGTGGCTGAGGCTTTTCTTTCAATTTCACCGGGTCAGTTGGTCAATCCTGTGAGTGTCGTCTTGTTGTCCCCGCGATTAGCGTGGCTCTTGAGTATTTTTTTTTTTTTTGCGTTTCGGTTATTTTCCATCGCCATGCCGAATATCACGTTCGATGTCAAGCTGGATTTTAAAGATGTACTTCTCCGGCCTAAACGGAGTACACTGAAGAGTCGCTCCGAGGTAAATTTACAGATCTCTTTATTTTTTCAGAAAAAAATTATTTTTTATTAGTGTAAAGTTTGTTCTGAGTAAGCCCTTCATTCAAATTGAATCCATCTGTCGCGTATAATTCATACGCTCTTCTCAAAAAAGGGCCCTCGTTTCTCGTGCTATGCAATGCAGGTTGTGGGACTTTATTTCGTAGTTTCCTGGACGAAGGAACGTAGCTCCATTGCAAGTTGCAAAATCGACTTTAACAATTGAGTGTTTTACAAGAATATACATGTGCAATGTATGTTCAAAATTTCTGATTTTAGCATGAGATCAGAGGCAAAATCAGTGAAAATTTCAGTTTGTAATGCACAAGATTCTCCTTATAAAAATGCAATTTTCGAGGGGATTTTGTGCAACATTAAAATATAGTTACTTCTTCTGTGAGGGAGACGAGTGCTGTCGTTGTGCTGAGGAGAAGAAAAATTCCCAAGAATAGCTCAATTAATTAAACGAAAAACAAACACAATGTACATGGGCAACCAATACTAAAAAACTTACAAAATGCCTGGGCTGTTTTGGGGTGATCTCAACCCCTTGTTCGATCAAGAAACATAAGCACAATAAAATTAATAAAAACCAAAAATCCTTAGGCCTCTATTTGTTGTAACATGATTTATTTTTATTTGTATTAATTTTATTCATTTTTTGTTACCTGGCTGACAAAGTGGCTAAGATAACCTCGATATATACTTTCCAGCCATTTCACGTGTTGTTTAACCTTCGTTGCCAATTTTATTGTGTTTGTTTTTCGTTGGGGTGCAAATAAGAGGTGTCTGTATTTGAATCTAATTAGGATAAAGTAGAAAAAATGACTCACAAGTTGGAACTCAAAATGTCTAAACAAGAATAGAAATGAAACCGAGTTGAGGTCAAAAAGCTCAATTTTCAGTTTCCGCCGCTGAATGTTTCTTTTAATACTTTAATGAGACGTTGGGTCAACATTTCACAGCATAATGATTTGCATTATCAATTTTCTTTTAAGCCTTTGAAATGAATTTTTCTAAATCTTGTAATAGTCCCGGCAAACTTGTTATGGGCTTTTCTCCAATTCTAGGAAGCTCTTAAATGCTCTCTATAGAGGTCGGTTTTTGAATGTTTGCTGTTTCTATTCTTTTTGCGTCAAATAATGCAGAAATAACGCATTTAAGTTGTGATTCAGTAATCTCATTTTAATTTTTTTCAATTGAAAGACCGCTCAGCCAGATTTCATCGGCGTTTTAATAAATTTTGTGATAAGGAATTACTATTCCTGGCTAATCCGTGATAGCACATATCTGTGTAGGGAAAATAATAGCACATACGTCGTTTCATAAATGAGATCGAAATATTAGTTCATTATATCCTCGCCTGTAAATAGTTGTCACCCAAAACTAATTGTCCAGACAACATCAAATATGTTATACATTGCACCTCTAATTTTCTCATTCCTCATTGTAGGTAATACTGTTTAAATTTTTGGTCAGAACTTATAAAGTAATCTGAAGGTAATTTAGATCATCGAAACATGACACGTTCAACATACTTCGTTATTAGCACAGCTGAGCCATTCCATTTTTTTACGCTTGTCTAAAGAAACGCACTAGAATACATGAAATAGTTGAGTACCAATAAAGACGTCATCTCTCCATTGGACTGTAATCAGTGAGAATACGTCTACCAAATTATTGTTTTCGACGGGGGTCTGCACTGGAACTGTAATTAGCGTGCGCTACTCTTAAATACTTCAAAGAAATCTTTAACTTTTTGCTCCTTTTACATTTATTGCAAAATCATTCTTCAACTTAAAAATATCAGTCGATTATTTATTATGACGCAGTTCGACAGCAATTCTACGTGGAATTTTCATGCAGTTCCTGTGTAAACTAATCGGTACCTTTTCAATGAATTAAATGATAGTGCAAGGCTTTTGAGAGAGGGTGATTATCAACTCGATGGTGATTTGCGCGGATAATGGTATTGTTACGAGCTCAATCGTCAAATTGGAAGAATATACGTACTTCTAAGTCTCTGATGATCAGAGACAAGAGACCCTCCACTAGTATCTTGGCCATGGTGGAAGCTTTTACTTTCGGGACTTCAGCATTCTACTGTTGACTTACCTACATGGTTGATGTTCAACAACGTGTTGGCAGTTTCGTTTTGCAAACAAGCCGAAAATGGCCGACGTTTGGGAAAGTTGTTTGGCTCATGACGTCATCCGAAGCTCATCATCGACCATGTAGGTAAGTCAAGAACCGAAACTAGGGTGATGACTGTTGCTCCCTGATAATTGTCCATTAGGAATTGTTGAAACCCCGAAAGTAAAAGCTTCCACCTGTCGCTAGGAGGCTAGTGCAGGGTCTCTTGTCTCTGCTAATGATGGAGATCGCCGCTTTTACTTATTCCAGTTTCATTGGAGAAACTAGGATTTTTGGTTTCTTTCCGTCGATTAACAGTTTAAAAATACGTAGAATTGTAAAAAAATTTCCTCCAATTTTATCTAAAAATTCAATTTTTTATAAGAATGCACCGAGGCAATGTCCCCCAAAACATTTTCTGATTTTTGCTGGAAATCAGAAGAAGAATCAGGGAAATTTTCTGTTCGAAATGCCGAAGACTCCCGGTGAAAATTCAACATGCGAGGGGTAATTTGGCAACACTGAAATGTGGTTACGTCCTTTTCTAGGGAAAACAAAGAAATATGGACCGAATTCAGCAAAAATCTATCAAGTTTGGGCCGAAAAAAGGTCTGAAGTTTTATTCCTTTGCATACGACTCAATTTGGAGGACAGTTTTGTGACCGTTAGCACGTTCAAAGTATTTTTTTCTCGACTTTAAATGTTTGACAAAAGAATATTAACAACCATGAAAATGAATTCATTGACTTCGAACGTAATTTTTTCCAAAATACAACTTGGCGCATTTCGGTTGAATTCAGTCCACAGTTACAGATTCGGTCCGAATCGACCAAAATTGTCCACAAATTGAAGCGAAGCGATTGATACGTACCTGATTGAAAAATTGATTATACCTACCTGTGAGTGAATAGAATTAGTTAATCCAAATTTCAGAAAAATATTTATTTTTACCTCTTGCGCCCAACTTTCATGCTTTCCTCTTGATTACTATTTTTCCAGGTTGATCTACATCGTGAAATAATCTTTAAAAATTCAAAGGCAAAGTACAATGGGATCCCTATTGTTGCTGCAAATATGGACACCGTTGGAACATTTGAAATGGCAAAAGCTTTGAGCGAGGTAAACACAATACCGTCATTATTTTTGTCTAACAAGTCATCTAAAAGAATTAATCCAAATAAAGGAAACACCACACCACGGCCCGGCTTATTATCGTCGCTTTTCTGATGAAAAGGCGTGACGCTACTTTCACTTGAGCCCTGCGGTCCATATAACTACACGCTTTCTGGAGCTCACGTGAAAATAAAGATACGCGACGTTGTGAGCTATACTCGAGATAAGGCCCGCCGCGGACCCTACATACTCAATTTCAATTGGAAAATGCAAGAAAATCACTATACATGGAATGATTAATTAGAAAACCTGTATAACCAAGGAGCGAAGAAAGATTGCTCATTTTTCTGCTCTGCAGTCATATACAGGTTCTATAATTGAATATTTTACATTCTGTATCTGTACATTTTCCGTTCGAAAATGTTTATAAATGATTCAAGACAATTTCTTTCCTTCTTTTTTTGCTCGTTTTTCATGTTTTAAACACTTGTCGAGATTCATTTTACATTGTTATACTTATATTGCTAGTAGAAAGCCTCTCATACAGTGATGTCTCATTGTAGAGCGAAATGAGAGACGTTTTCCTTAGCACCAGTAAGAGACTTTGATGTCATTTCCAAAAAATGTATAAACTCTTGCACTGAAAAAAACATGGTAAAATTAATTCAACAGAACGTTGTAAAAAGTATAATATTTCATACATTTACTTTTACTTAATGAAAATTCCCGCGATTTTTCTTCTCGTTGGGCAAATAGCATATTGCCGTCAAACATTGACGGGCCAGGATAAGGGGGAGACTTTTACACCCCAACAATGAAAGATAGAAATGGTGCATCGGCGCACGTAAGTTCACCGCGCCGTTGAGAACGTATGGATGCAACTATCCTTGATCAGCGGCAATCTGTGTTGCATGCAAAAATATTGAAGGCACTTTGGGTCCCCTAAAACAGATCGCGTCGTGCGTCATGACAATTACTCCTACCAATTCATTGTTTAGGTGTGCAAGTGATTTGAACTGCATTTTGCAAGGAGAGACCACCATTTCTTCCTCCTCCGTAAAAGTACCCATCTACATAGGAAAACTAATGGCACGTATGTTGTTTTTAAAATGGGCGAGAAATAGTTCGGTTCCTCTGGTGAAATGCGGGTCATTTGGCACATTTAGCATTTTGGTCATTTAGCAATAAGAAACTATCATATTTGACTCACCCATTAAAGTGACTATTCGCATATGAAAACTGATGGCGCATACGTTGTTTCTGAAATGAGCCAGAGATATTTTTCTTTTGAAAATTTCGGTCCAATTGATGTGAAGCCACTCGACATGCACTACTACCGCTAACCTTATTACAAACACTACTACTAATATTACTACGCCTGCTACTACTACTTCTACCACCGCTATTATTACTACGTTTACTACTACCACTACTACTACTACTACTACTACTACTACTACTACTACTACTACTACTACTACTACTACCACTACTTCTACTGCTACCACCACCACTACTACAACTACTACCACTACTAGGTACTACTACTTCTACCACTAATACCACTAATACCACTAATACTACTACTACTACTACTACTACTACTACTACTACTGCTGCTGCTGCTGCTGCTACTACTACAACTACTACTACTACTACAACTACTACTACTACTACTACTACTACTACTACTCCTACTACTCCTACTACTACTCCTACTACTACTACTACTACTACTACTACTACTACTACTACTACTACTACTACTACTACTACTACTACTACTACTACCACTACTACACAACTTATTGCTGCCAACGAACTTTTGACCTCATTTTGTCCTTTTATTTTCATTCTCATGTCCGCACAAAACACCACTAATCTCCCGTTTTTCATCGTCTGTCTTGCACCCTCAACAGCACGATGTGTTCACGGCAGTCCACAAATACTACACAGTGGACGAGTGGGAGGCTTTCGCGAAAGAAAATCCCGGCTCTCTGAAACACGTAGCTCTCAGCAGCGGCTGCGGCAATGACGATTTCAAAAAGATGCTGGATGTCACGAGTAGCGTTCCTGGAGTCACCACACTTTGTCTTGATGTCGCCAACGGCTATCAGCAATCATTCGTCGAGTTCGTACGCAAAGTCAGAGAGACCCTCCCAAAACACACTATTATTGTAAGTTCGACCCCTGCTACATTTTAAATCTGATCTTCCTCTTTTAGTAAGTGTTAGTCTACACAAAAAAATACCTCTGGATGCTCACAGGAGGCGAAATTTTCAAAAGAGCTATTCTTGTCGTAGGGTAAAAAAATGTGATTTCCAAATTTCGCCAAAAAAACCTTCCTTAAAAGATCTAATCAGTTCCTCTCCGTGCCGGATTTTGCACTGATATTCGGCATACATATATATTCGGCGATATATCCGGCAACTTTCAGACGTGAACAATTGAACATATCAAAGTAGATACTTAATAAACTCCATGGCGTCATTTCCATAGTTTCCTTTAAAATTGGGTGTTACATATGTACCAAAAACTTTAAAAAACACTTTTTAAAATGTTTGGTTAAAAAACTCGTTTTTGAGTTTTTGTGAGTCATAGCTACTTTTCTCGAGGACGATCTCATATGTAGAGTACAACAATTTCAGAAGAATTTCTTCATGAAGACGTAAAAATATTTTAAAAGTTTTTGATTTTAAATATTTTTCTCAAGAATCTTGTCCTAATATGTGACTGTGTCAGGCAAAAAGGTCCTTATAGTGGTAACTCAAACTGTTCAGAGCATCAAAAAACTAAAATTTGAGCTTAGAAATTGAACTTAACTTTGCAACTGGGAACTACAATTTCTGGCTTATACGTAAAGACACTTATGTACATAGGGAAACTTATGCTATTTATGATTTTTCTAAACTGAGCCAGAGATTGTAGTTCTAAATTGCAAAATGTGGTCCATGGACCGCGTTAAACAGAAAGGAACCAAGCCACATCGGCTATTGCCAAATTTAATCGGGCAGTTCAATTTTCTACATAAATACGGTTGTGCAGATTTTCGTGCAAATTTCAGTAAATTTTCTCCGTAATGCGCAGCAAATTCCTGAAAATTTTCAAACGAATCCGCGCAAACGTTTTCTCGTAAAAAATTAAAAGTGCCAAGTTAAATTTGGCAATAGCTGATGTGGCTTGGTTCCTTTGTGTTAAACGCGGTTCAATTAATGTTCAGCTTCACCACCGCGAGATAGTTCTCCATTACTCTCAAGAATACACTCTTTTTAAGATGTCCTTTGAGCAATATTCTGGGAGAAATATCGCCTTATGAGCTAATTTGCTTTGACCTCTGTAACGAAAAGTTTGGTTTTATTTTGCCAGGCCGGGAACGTAGTGACAGTGGAGATGGTGGAGGAACTCGTGCTGTCGGGAGCTGATGTGATCAAGGTTGGCATCGGGCCGGGATCGGTATGCACCACGCGTTACAAGACCGGAGTCGGCTACCCTCAGCTCAGCGCCGTCATGGAGTGCGCAGACGCCGCCCGCGGGCTGGGCGCCCATGTTATGTCGGTAAGTTCCTTTCATAATTCTACTGTGCTAAGGAAAAACGCCGTATGAGTCTTGAGACGTTGCCAGATTTACTTCAATAAAAACCGAATTTCCTTGGAAAATAGAGATGTTGCATGTGTGAGGAATTTGCGATTTGACGGTTGATTCCCAGGGCCGGATTCACCTACTTGCCGCCCATTGGCCGCCTATATTTTGCCTTGGGATTAATACTCTGTAGTTACCTATCTCACTAATAAAGAAAAAAAAATATTTTGCCGCCCCCTTCTCATTCGTTTTGAAACTCGATAAAAACCATCAAATGAACGAGCCAGCGGGGAAGGGATGCATAAGACGCATTTACTCTTGTTGAACACAGTTTTTGGGAAAGCCCTGTCAACACTACTAGCAAAAGTTCACGAAACTTTGCGCGAAAGTTAAGTTCCATAAACCTATCTCTGTGTGGACAAGGCCTTCCATTCATAAGAAATGAACGAAAAAATTATGAAAGAAAAAACATGAATATGGTCTAATGATTTTAACTTCCGCCGCCGCGCCGCGCAGACCGCATTGTGTTTGGCGCAATGCGTGAAGTATTCACGCAGTCTTGTAGGCGCCATGCGTTTCACGCTGACCGCACTGCGTTTGGCGCAATGCGTGAAGTATTCATGCATTCTTGTAGGCGCTATCCGTTTCACGCTGACCGCACTATGTTTGATGCCATGCGTGAAGTATTCGTGCAGTCTTGTAGGCGCTAACACGTGTTACATGCCGATCGCCGCGCGCGCTGAGGGCTTCTCCTTTTCATCTCAAGTCCGCTTCATCATTGCTCTCTGCGCCGCGCCGTTCCAGGCCGAACTGCGTGTTTGGTTTCTCTCTTTACTTGACTAATTAAAGGTGCTGTCTCTTGTATCACTGAAAGACGACAAAATTAAAAATTACTCTACTTTCAGGAAATGAGAGATTTTGTCACCTTTTCTCGTTTGTAATTTTTTTTTCTAAATCCGATTTTTTTTTTTTTATATATATACCTACACTTTTAAAAATTGCAAATTTTTGCCCCTTAGACTTGCCGCCCTGGGCCGCGGCCCATGTGGCCACCCCCTGAATCCGGCCCTGTTGATTCCTATGTAAAAGTTTGCGAGAAACGCGATGGTGCCACTGGTTCTCTCTGAAATCCTCTCCCAAGCTCAAAAAAAGCTCTCAAGTTGACGCTAAAATGGAGGGGATATCCCACGCTATCCTGAGAGTCCACATCTACATCAAGACAAACTCACCATGCAAAGATAGGGAACAAAGACATCAGCAGGATTGTCGTGTTTTCAGTTTTGGAGTTCCCAAATAAAGTGGCAGCTCTGTCAATGTATTTGCTCCCTATCTTTGCATGGAGAGTTTGTCTTGATGTAGAGGTGGACTCTCAGGGTAGGGCGGGATATCCCCTCCATTTTGGCCTTACTTTGAGAGCTTTTTTTGAGCTCGGGAGTTGATTTCAGAGAAAACCAGTGGCACCATCGTGTTTCTCGCAAACTTTTACAAAAGAATCAACAGTCAAATCGCCAATTCCTCACCATTGCGAACATTTTTCTTCAAAATTTTCAGATAATTTTGTTCGCGATTTGATCTGAAACATTTGAAAATTTCAAAAATAAATGTGAATAACTTTTCTCAAAAATATATGTTTTATCTGGAGAAATTTGGCAACTCACGAATGTTCATACGGCGTTCTTCCTTAGCGCGGCAGAATTTAACGTGGTTAGATGCATTAGCCGCAGATGCAGCAAGTTGGCAGCATAGTTTTTACTCCATTTAAACCTATGGAAATGACTCGAGTCCTTTGAGTCATTCATTGTTGCGAACATGCTACATTTGCTTCTGTTAGGTCGTAAGTTCCTTGTCAGAAAAATTTATTATTTCGCTCTGGCTAAAGTTTGCTAAAGACCCATTGTTAGATAACACAAATCAACCATTGTGCCTAAACTTGGTTCCTACCTCCACCCTATTAGTTTGTCTATTTCTTCGAAAATTTTTAAAAATTTTAAGCGAAATTAGATATTGGAGGTCAGGGTGATCTTTAGCGATCGAGCAGAAGCCCTATAGAGCAAGCGCATTTATGCCGTGATGTTAAATCGTGGTGTCTTGAAAAAGTATATTTTCTATTGGAAAACTCCGAGATCGTGAGAGTATACGTGTGAGAGACTGTTTTTTGCTCAGACAAATGTTGGATCTCGAAGCCCTCTGACGTTGTAACATACGGCTCGAGCACTTTTTTCTGAGCTACTGAAAATAATTTCTTCATCGAAGGTAGAAAGAAAATTCTAAAGGATCCTCGCATTGTACACATTTCCAACTGCGCAGAATGCCAGTTTTTCTTTCAAGGTTTTTTTTTCTTTTTTATTTCATGACATCATAACTCAATTTTTACTGTAAGACCAGTAATGAACATCGACGTGTTTTGGCCCAGCACAATTCATTCACGCAATTTAAAAAACAATTTCAATTTTTGAAAAGCTTATATTGAAAATAAAATTCAGTTATAGTGATCAAATATATAAAATTACAAAGATATCTGAAATTCTAGTCATTTCTTACGTTTTCTAAGGATTTTTTTTTTATCATTATTATTTGAAACAGAATCTTTGTTGGCATACTCATATTTTCTTTCATACAATTGGAAAAATTGCCCAAAAATATAATTAAAAATGTCTTTGATTTACCCTGAGACCGTCGAAAAACCATCAGGGCCGGATCAGCCGGGGTGCCGGGCGGGGTGCTGTAACACCCCGGACCCCTTGTGGAACGGTTTTCTCCATTATTATTATTTTCAATGCTTCTTTCTGCGAGTGGTCCAGAGTCAAATCTTTTGAGAGCCCCAGGCCTCCGGAGTCTTGAATATTTATAGCGGACCAGAGGAGACATGTTTTAGGATTTTGAGGCATATGATGGGGCCCTTGAATTTTAGGATTTAGGGCTCCTGGTCGCATCATTTGGAAATCTCTTGAGATTAGGATTCTTGTGAGTCCTGCATACGACAATTTCCATAAACTCTTGAGTTTTGATTACAGTGTGTTATCGGGTTCTCAAGATGAATGATTTGGTGGACTCAGAAATTAGTTTATTCTTTGTTTTTTTTTTGGGGNGGAGGAGCCAATTGGATAGACCAAATCAGTATTCTTTCATCTCTTGGGACCAAAGTGAGGACACTTGGGAACTATTGTTTTTTTTTTTTTTTGGAAGCGTAAACCACCTTCAATTTACGAAGTATATGACCCGCAATGTGCGGACTCCTGACTCTTAAGCATCCAGAAGGGCCCCTGAGCGCTAATCCGGCCCTGTATTTGTCTATGACGGCTGATAAAATAACCACTGAATCCGTCTATTTCTTTCCTTGGTGTTTTCCCCCATTTTTTCTGGACATTGCTTCTCTTCTTTTCGCTTCCCTCTTCGCCTTTCTTTCCTCTCTCCATCTCATAAATTTTCCAAGTTTATGGGCAATGGCACAAGGACAACATCTAGGCTTCAAGATGGTTCCTTGAGAGGGGTCGATCCCTCCTGAAATAATGGTGCCTGCCTCTACGCTCGATGGATCGGATGCATGCGTCTGAGTTATTGCCACGACCAACGCCTGAAATTGAAATATGATACTAAAATTAATAACTCCTCCCCTCTTGAGAAAATGGACGACTATATAGACAGGGCAGTGACGGTTATCGCAGATTTGTAACAAAAATTTTCCCTCCACTTGTGACGCGAAAAAGAAACTTATTCCGCGGAGGAAACATTTTCAACACAGCTGTATTTGTCGAGTTCGGTTGGGAAATTGAGCTTTGAGATTTTGACAGTAAATTCCCTTTATTATCAAAAAGAGTAGTTTGCGGGTGGCTGTATTCATTTTTAAACTGATAGAGGCTAGTCGTGTCAATGTGAGCGGACAATACCGTACCTTTGACACGGTGGATAAGAACACATTTTAAAAACCATTAAGAACATTTTGATTATATTTTGCAATAAGGAACCACTATCTCTGGCTCTCCCACAAAAGCACACATCTGCATAGGGAAACCAACGGCATGTATGTTGTTTCTGAAATGGGCCAGAAATAGTGGTTCCTATTGCAAATTGTAATCCATTTTAAATACCTAGTTCTCTTGAGACTATGTGAACTATAGAAACTTCATCCTAATTCCGATTTGTTTGGACATTTGAACCGAGTTCATCAGAAAGGAACCAGCCCACATTAAGTTGAAACTGAGAAGAAGAGGTTTGAAGTTTTACTCCTGCGTAAGGCTCATTGTGGAAAATAAACTTTAACCCCTCTCTTCACAAACTATTTTTTTTCGACTTTTAGTTTTTGGCGGGAGAAATTATACGGGTATAGTGGAACTCAATAACATTCTAACTCAATTTTTTCGGAAATTTGGGTTGGTTTTTTTTTCTGACCAACTCGGTCCATTTTTGGGCGGTTTTTTTTTGTCCCAAAATTTTCGCAGAACTTTCGTCTTCGGAAACGTTGGAATCAATTTTGCTGAAAAAGACTTCAAAATCATGAAATTCAAATTCCTGAGCTCTGTTTCCTATTCAACTCCCCTATCCCAAGCATCATCCGCTTTATAATAATCAAGAAAAAAGGCACGCAGGGTTGCGGTGACCTGGGACACTGCATAAACTTTGCATTGCCTCCTCAGGACTGATCGCTAGATCGTAGTGTCAAAAACAGTCTTATTTATCCTCGAGTAACATCAAATGTTGACATTGTGCCCCATAAAATTAAAAAAAAAAACGAAATATTAAAGTTGTTTTTTCACCGAAGATATTCAAAATATTAGCGTTTTTCAACATGCACAATCAACGTTTTAAATTGACACATAGGACGAATAAAATGGGGACGGGTTTTTTTTTATTATATTATCTCAGTTAGTGTTGTTGATAATGACGTTTTGATACAATTATTCGTACTCTGCGGACGCGCGTGTTGCATATGTAAAAAATGGAAGGCGCTCCGGTCACTCTGCTCCGTGGAGCAGTGCACGCAGCAACGTGAGGCGCGCCGCGATACGTGTGGTAAGATGAAATTCTCTGATAAAAATTACATTGATAGGACGGGAATGGATATATTCGCACTACTTTCTCTAATCAGCATTATGTCACACCGAGTCGTAACAACGTATCCCTGCGAGCACAGTTCCATGAGCTGGAATGACCGGAGCGCCTTCAATATCTAGCATAATATGCAACACATATCCAAACAGCACGAATTGTCGCATCAAGGCGTTATTACCGGTAACATTTGACTACGCTTAGCTGTGAAGGTGATTCTATGTGATCTACAGACGAGATTCGCCACTACGTTGCGCTGCTATGTGTCTTCAAGAAGCAATAATTATCATTACGTACAAGTTAATGCAAGAAACTAATCCATAACGTGTAGCAGCATTAATATTGAGTAGAGTGACAGCTTTGTGAAGATTCATTTTAATATTATCGATCAACGGATAAACAAGAAGAAAACTTACCGCAATACAAACACTGGAGAGACACAACAGTACTCTCATGCTCTCGATGCTACTTTATAAGAATTTTTCAACAAATAAATTACGAGTTTAATATACCGAACACCGTATTTGCACGACCAAAAGTCTCATACCAAGTATCGACGTTGAATCTCCGTTCTTATAAGACTTATAAGCCTCGCTATTAAAAAAATCCAACGTCTGCGGAACTTTTTTTTATAGTTTCCCTCAACTTTGCTAACGTTGACGTCCTAACGTGCGGTGTGGACGCATTTCTTTTTTTTGTGTGTGTGTGAAACAATGGAGCTACGATGAAAATGAAATGAAATTTTCACCAGAAGCAAGGGGAAAAAATTCGAAAAATCTGCACATTTTTTTAAAGGAAAAAAAATGCGAACTATACATTAAGTTTTCTCCTCTTGCAAACACCTATTCACGTGAGAGTTCGATGTTATCTCAGGTATTTCACTCTGAAAAGAGAGAGAGAGATGAGAGAAAGTTAAAAAGATAGAAATATATCCCTATCACCTATTTTCGTGAGAGTTCGATGTTATCTCAGGTATTTCACTCTGGAAAGAGAGAGAGAGATGAGAGAAAGTTAAAAAGATAGAAATATATTCATCAAGTATTAGCTACGCACAGATGGGATTTCTAGGTGAATACTGAATAGCAAGTTCAGACCTCACCTCCCTGTGTTACTTGCGTAATACTTGGCGGCCCCATCCGACCCATTTTGACAAAACTGCCGTGCTATGGGAAAACGCCATATGAATACTCTCAGGCGTTGACAAATTTCCTTTAATAAAATTCAAATTGATTGGGAAAGTCGTACATATTTTTCTTAATTTTTTCAGACAATTTTGTTCAAAATTCAATCTAAAGTACCTGAACATTTCATGGGGAAACATACCTTTCATCCAAAATACATTTTTTATGAGGGAAAATTTGGGAACATGCGAATTTTCATGTGGCGTTAACCTTAGCACAACAGAAAACGCCGCACGGTAGGTCGAGGCAGTAGGAGAGGTCGGACATGAAATTTTTAACAAAAATTGCAAATTTTGATGATTAATTTGTCACATTTTGATTTTCAAGGGGTGCTTTCAGAAGGAAATTTTACAAGGGAGATGATGAAGCCACTTTTAAAACCTCAAAGTTTTATATAAACGGAGTTATGAGCTTTTAAAGTTTCCAAATTTTGTCGAACCCCTTCTATTGATTCGATCCACTGAGCGCCGGTAGAGTGCTCTTGATTGACTTCTTCCCAAGTAGCAGAAATCGCCATAAGTTGCGAAAATATCGTCAAATTAATTCAATTTCAAGGCAAAATGTGTGGGTTGCTGTTTGAAAGGGTGGAATTATCAAAATTCACTGTCATATCTCAATAAATTGGACGGAAAGGGAAATGATTTTCAATTTCTGGGTGTGACGCAGATTGCCTGCTTGCTCAATCCAAGGAACCATCAAAGTTTTGTCATGAAATCGCCAAATATCTCGGTAAATTGCCCATATTTTGTTCGGAAATTGTAATTTTATCGAAAATTCACAAGGATGTGTTGAAACATTATTGCAATAATTCTAGCTCTATAAAATGCTCTATAAATGCTCTCTGGTGACGGTGGGTAGAGGGCATCCGTGAAGAGATGGAGAGATGCCAGCTTCCGGAGGATCTCTGCCATGACAGATTCCTGTGGAGAGTGTGTGTCGCAGAGCGCCCTAGCGCGCCGCGCGCCGTAAAAGCGGCTCATACGTAGGTACATACATATAAAATGCATCTTGGGATCCTTACGTCACAATTTTATTTTCCAGGATGGCGGATGCACTTGTCCCGGTGACGTGGCTAAGGCCTTTGCTGGTGGGGCTGATTTCGTGATGTTGGGCGGAATGCTGGCGGGTCATGACCAGTGCGGAGGAGAGCTCATCACCAAACGGGACGGAAGTCAAGTCAAACAATTTTACGGCATGAGTTCGTCCACCGCCATGCAGAAACATGTTGGAGGGGTCGCCCACTATAGGTGAGAATTTTCAGGAGTCTATTGCATATTGGAGCGCACTTATGCTGTAAGGTCTGGATACACGATCAAATTCCGAACCAATTTCGATCACAGTAGACCACTTGATGACTGATGGTCACCATGCAATAGTCCTCTTTGATCAAAATTTGACGGGCCGTCAAATTCTTATCACAATGGAGTGCCACCATTCATCATTTCTTGCCACAGGAAACATTTCTGCCAAGTTTTCTTTTTAAAATTAAGCAAATCAATGATTTTAAGACTGATGACTCCCGACACTTTGATGATATTGGTTCGGGAATTTGATCGTGTATCGAGACCAATAATAGAAGTCCAGCCACATTGAAATATTTGGACCGCGTTTAGCAGAAAGGAACCAAGCCTCATCAGCTTTTGCCAAATTTAATGGGCAATTTAATTTTTTCAGAGAACGTTCGCGTGGACACCTTTGAAAATTGTAAGGAATTTGCTTTGCACTGTGCAGAAAATTCACTGAAATTTGCACAAAAATCCGCACAACCATTTTCATGCAAAAAATTAAATTGCCCTATAAAATTCGGCGATAGCTGATGTGGCTTCGTTCCTTTCTGCTCAAGGCGGTGCATTTAAGAGGAATATTTTTTTAAAAGGATAGATCAGGTTTCACGATTGTAATTTGACGGATCGTCATTTCTCTCACGAAAGGACGTAGCTCCATTTCAATGTTGCCAAACTTCCCCTCGAAAATTGCATATTGACCAAGAGAATCTTGGACATTCCCCACTGAAAATTTCACTGATTTTTCCGCTGATTTCGTGCAATAAAAATTGCACAGGTGCATTTTTTAAAATATTTTAATTGTCTGGGTCAATTTGGCAACCTTGGAATTGAATTACGTACCTTCATCCTGAAAACGATGAGAAATGACAAGAAATCTGCAAAGTCACAACGGAGATACGAGGTTTCGCATTTTGCACATACATCGAAATACGTGATTTTTATTGTACGTGATTCTCTACAAATCATGCTCAGGATATCACGATATCAAACCTGAAGCACAAAAGATATACTCACATCTTACGCCATTGTGCGATCACAAATTAATATAGTCTTGCCCATACGAGATGTTTTTGTAGTATAAATGAAGAATTGAAGACGCTCCATCATTTTGAATTATCGTAGTAAATACAGCTCGCCGTCGCGGGTGTAGCGGTCAATTCCTGGAAAGTCAAAACGCCTTCTCTTCGGTGCGTATGCAACACAGACATCCGTCGAGGCCGAATAGTTGCATCCAGGAGTTATAATGAAATTCCTTTAGTGTTCGTCGCTTGCGATACCAACTGAGGACGCTTCGCCTGTTTACACCATAACTAAATTACATCTCTGATAAAAAGAAACCCTTTCATACAAAAATCTGCCAACTATTTACAAAAAAAAACCTTTCCCTCTCATAAAAAAAACTGTTTTCCCTCACTAGATACTGCGTGCTAAACGGAACAAATTAAATTGCTGATTTAACAATTCAATTGTTAAAAAAAGTGACTTCCATGTTTCAACGTAGATTTTACAATAAAAAAAATGCTAATTTAATCACCTCCGTGGTTAAGCTTGCCACTGTTGTAAAATGTACATTTAAACATACTTTTTTTAACAATTGAATTAATGTTAATTCAGCAATTCATTTTTATCCGTGAGGATAACTGGACTTCATTTGGACGTAGGTATGCTAAAAGGAACCAGAGTCGAATGGGAAAAAAGGAGTGTACTCGTTAGTTGAGGGCCGTAAGAATGAATGGGAATTATGAAGCGCCAGTGACGTCAGCGTTGACGACGGCGACGGCGACGAGGAGATTCTGTCGAAAGTCTTTAATAATTCATGAGCCAACAAAGCTCTTGTCACATACCCACACTGCCGTGCTAAGGAAAAACGCCGTATGAACCTTCAGGCGTTGCCAAATTTCCTCTGATAAAATACGAATTTATTGGGGAAATTGTCAATATTTTTCTTCCAATTTTTCAGACTATTTGTTCGCAATTTAATCTAAAATATCTGAAAATTTCAAGGAAAAATACGCATAAATTTCGTGGAAAATACATGTTTTATCCGGGGATATTTGGCAACTCTCAAATGTTCATACGGCGTCCTTCCTCAGCACGGCAGCACAGCTCATTAGTTAGCACATTTTGGCGCTTAGTTTCTTTTGATTTAATGTCAATAAATTCCACTTTTCCATTTTTCCAAAAGGAATCACGCCCATTTTTACATTATCTCTTATGCAACTTGCACGAGTACACTTTATCTTTCCCACACGTCTCTAGTTCCTTTTAGAATAATACGTACATTTTCCAATTGGAAACTGATGTAAAGACACTCATCGACGGCGTAAGTCCACAATCGCGTATTTCGTTCTCGGTGTTCGAAAATCTCCGCTCCTATTATATTTTTTTTAAAAAAAAGAGCAAATCGACAGCATTCCTTGAAGTTTTCACAGAATTGTCTCGGCATTGAGAGGGAAATCTTGGCAATTTTCAAGAATTGCTGTTAAGTGGTTTTTCATTTAAAAAATAAAGTGTGACGGGAAGTCTGCGACGTCATAAACCGAGATACGCAGTTGCGGACTTATACCGTCGATACGCACTTAGTGTAACCAATGGTGCATACGTTGTTCCTAAACTAAGCCAGAAATTGTAGTTCCGAATAGCAAAATGTCTAATTTGGACGTATTTCTATCAAACGGAACTAAGCGCCATCGGGGAAGGAGAGGAGAGGGGGGCTTGGATTGGCGGGTGTTGCAAATCGCGATGCTCGCTCCGTCCTATACTCGCAATGCTTTTTCCATGGTGCTTAGTTCCATTTGACAAAACGCGCTATCCGGGATTCTAAAATCTTCAAAAGGAACTCAATTTGGCGTTTAGTTCCGTTAGACAGAAATACGTTCATTTATATAACTCGTCTGGTCGGCGTTTGCTTTCAGATCAGCGGAGGGTAAATGCGTTGAAGTATCGTACCGTGGTGACGTCAACGAAACCATCATGGACATCCTCGGTGGACTCAGATCCACTTGCACCTACACCGGAGCCGCAAAACTTAAGGAACTTTCCCGACGGGCCACTTTCATCAGATGCACTCAACAGCTAAATCAAGTTTTTGCTCAGTCTACCACGAAATACTAGTTTTACTGAACCGTAGTAAAACGTCTCTATGGCTCTTCAATTTACCAATTTATTTTATTTTTTTTCTCTCTCTCTTAAAACACTCTGAGTAATATTCTAAGAAATCAGCGATTAGCTCTAAGGTAAGAGTCGCAGTGACAAATCGTTTTTTCCCCGACGTAATTGCGTGACTAATTTTGGAGATGAGGCTTGTTGCCCGCATAACCCCATGTTTCCCAGAGCTCATGCAGGAACGAAGATACGCCTTTACGTCATCAAATGAGCCCCCTCGTTGTGCGGGTTTCTACTTACTTAGAAATCCC